TTGGTAATCCATCAATATGTACGTTTATTTGGATATTTTCAGAGATTTTATTGACGCCAACTGTTTTTAGTTGATCAATTAATCCTTTTTGTAAGCCATAATGGAAATATTCTCCAGGTGGAACGGAACGAATCACAGTACTCCTAGGTGTATTGAGTAAAGTTTGTGGATCTTTTGGAAGTTCTCTTAACTGCTGAACTGATTGAACATTATTACGAAGAATCTTTAATAAAGCTCTTGCTGCTGTATGAGTTACATTATTATGGCAAATCCATTGTGCCATCTGTTCTTTCCAGTCAACTGTTTTCTCACTTTCTGGAATGTCATACAATTCATTATCTGTTGAAGTATTATTTTCTGTTGAAGTTTCTTCATTAACATCTGATTCCACTGAGCTGACTACATGACAATAATTTTCACTTATTGGAGTGGCTTGTAAATTATTTAATGATTTCACATTATCCGCATATTCCCCATCAGTTTCTGATTTTATCACCTTCTTCACAGTTATTTTTTCAGCGTCACAACTTGGACCACCAGGCATCTCCAATAATGAGTCATACCCTTTTTTTATTCTTCTATTTTTTTGACTCTTGGACAAGTTGTTAAATGATTTTCTTTTGGACATTTTTTGTATAAAAATACAGTTTACCTGTAAAATTTAATGAATATATGTTTTGAAGATTATAAAAAAATAACAGTGTGTGTGTGTGTGTTTATTAACATTTGTGATATATGTAATAATTAATCAAATATAATACCTTATATATTATAATATTTCACTCATTTAGCCTTCAAATACTACACTGAAGTTACGCTAACCCTATAACATTGGATTAACATAACCCAATGATGGGTAAAGATAACTTCTCTTATTTAAAATTAATAATAATGTAATGAATCTTCACAATACTTTTTATATCAATAAATAGTTATTAATTACTTATCAATTATTGATTAAATAAATTAGGATAATAGTTGTCAACTTGTACTCTTGTAATTAAATTTTAATTGTAGGTTAGATTACACTAAATCGTTATGATGCGCATGCGTGAAGTAAATCTAAAACTTGTCATAACTGAGATAACATATTGTAGTCTGAATTAAGAAGTCTTTTTGATGACAGAAAAAAGACTTCTTTTAGACGTCCAGAAATTGATTTCTTACACAAGATAACTTAAAGAGTTCTTATCTCAGACTTCTTTAAATTGACGTCTGTAAGAAATCTTATTCGCAGCTCTAAGAGTCGTCTTAAAAAAGAATTCTTGAAGATATCTTTCTGAGGTTTGTGCTGTCTGGGTTTCTCCTAGAGATGTGCAAACAAAAATTCAAATTAATTTGAAATTTGCAAACGAAAATCTACGAATTAAGCTTATTACGAAAGAATTTTTGCCAAATTTGAATTGTTTTAAATGTGAAGATAGCCCCCCAAAGTTATTTTTTTAAATAACTTTTTTTCTAGAGATGTACAAATGAAAATTCAAATTGATTTGATATGTGCAAACGAAAATCTACGAATTAAGCTTATTACGAAAGAATTTTTGCCAAATTTGAATTGTTTTAAATGTGAAGATAGCCCCCCAAAGTTATTTTTTTAAATAACTTTTTTTCTAGAGATGTGCAAACGAAAATTCAAATTGATTTGAAATGTGCAAACGAAAATCTATTAATTAGGTTGATTGAAAACCATTTTTATAAATTTTGGGAGGCTAACGTAAGGTTGGCTCCTTCAAAAGTTTTTTTTTTAAATAACTTTTTTTCTAGAGATGTGCAAACGAAAATTCAAATTGATTTGAAATGTGCAAAAGAAAATCTACGAATTAAGCTTATTACGAAAAGATTTTCGCCAAATTTGAATTGTTTTGCAAACGAAAATCTACGAAGAATTAAGCTTACGAAAAGATTTTCGCCAAATTTGAATTGTTTTAAATGTGAAGATAGCCCCCTAAAGTTATTTTTTTAAATAACTTTTTTTCTAGAGATGTGCCAACAAAAATTCAAATTAATTTGAAATGTGCAAACGAAAATCTACGAATTAAGCTTATTACGAAAGGATTTTCGCCAAATTTGAATTGTTTTAAATGTGAAGATAGCCCCCCAAAGTTATTTTTTTAAATAACTTTTTTTCTAGAGGTGTGCTAACAAAAATTCAAATTAATTTGAAATGTGCAAACGAAAATCTACGAATTAAGCTTATTACGAAAGAATTTTCGCCAAATTTGAATTGTTTTAAATGTGAAGATAGCCCCCCAAAGTTATTTTTTTAAATAACTTTTTTTCTAAAGATGTGCAAACAAACATTCAAATTAATTTGAAATGTGCAAACGAAAATCTACGAATTAAGCTTATTACGAAAGAATTTTCGCCAAATTTGAATTGTTTTAAATGTGAAGATAGCCCCCCAAAGTTATTTTTTTAAATAACTTTTTTTCTAAAGATGTGCAAACAAACATTCAAATTAATTTGAAATGTGCAAACGAAAATCTACGAATTAAGCTTATTAAAAACCATTTTTATAAAATTTGGGAGGCTAACGTAAGGTTGGCTCCTTCAAAAGTTTTTTGCGAATAACTCTTTTTCTAGAGATGTGCAAACGAAAATTCAAATTGTTTTAAAATGTGCAAACGAAAATCTATTGATTAGGTCTATTGAAAATCATTTTTGTAAAAATTGGGGGGCTAATGTGAAGTTGGCCCCCCCAAAATTTTTTTTTTTGATAACTTTTTTACTAGAGGTGTGCAAACAAATATAAAAAATGTGCAATCATGTGCAAACAATGTGCAATCGAATCGTATAAAAAAACTTAATTTTTTCTAATATTGGGGGGCCAACTTCACCCATCTGCACTCGAGTCTTTTCTAAACATCTCCTTATCCTCCAGCGGATCTACGGATTCGCCTTACACACCGCTTCTCGCTCATCTCTGAGCGTTTCTAAAGTTTCGGGCGATCTCGTCGAGATCGATTTCCGAACAGAGCAATTATAATTTATATTATGAAATCAACATGTTCAAAACATTTTTATTGAAAGAATTCTATATATTGTTGCGTCCGCGCGTCGACTTCGATAATACTCAAACACGCGCGACACAAACGGCACTCGCGTACCGCGACGTAAATGATTAACACTCTTTTA